AGTAAAAAATCATATTTCCTTTAGGGACTTATAATGGAAATCGTATGGAGAGAACAGTCTCAATACTTACTCTGTAAGACAGACGTTCCATGCTTTTACCGTTAACCTGTAGTAAAATGTCATTKACTTGSAGCTGCCCCGACAAGGCGGCTGAGCCTCCAGGAACCAGTCTTTTGATATATATAGGTCCTAAATATGAAAAAAGTAAGAAAACTGATYGGTAAAATCTACCTTAAATTGCTAATTCAAGCAATTCACAATGACTGAACCTTACTCCCACATAAAGTGAATTTTGTGGAACGTACTTTGAAATWGTAGACAACTAACAAAGGCCATTTTGTAAATTGTMTGAGTTCAATGTAATCATTTATCGATCTCAGCAWCTATTCACTGTAGTCGACTAAATTCACCACAAACAATATTTGTTGATTTAAACAGTCAAATGTTACGCTTACCGTTGCCTCCCATTTCACCTCCAGTGAGACTCATCCCCAGMCCTTGTGGTCCTTTGATTAAGTGAACTTCAAAAGGCTGTTCRTCCATACCATAYTCTAAAATGACGTGAAATGGCGCATTAATGTMTGTTTCTATAGCTAGTTCTCACCAGTGCTAMGCTTAAAGGGACACTGTCAATGGCACGCATGCGCGAGTAAACTTGAAAACATTAGGCTAATGTTTTCAAGTTTAGGACTCGAAGTTGGCGCGACATAAATCAGCTCGTAYACGTAAACAGATCTAGAATATTCCAAAGTGTGTCAAAAGCACCACAAAATGATTTACCTCGAAGGTAATACTTTCAAAGTCCGTTAGAGGTGAYACTGTTACTGCGCATGTCATCCATTGACAGTGMCCCTTTAAGAATGACCTGGACAATTCTGATGTATGGCTATATTCTCYTTACCTGTYTACTGCACAGATCCAGTATGCATGTAGTTATCCATTGTTGGTGGCTGGGAATTTATATGYTCCTCTGGTGCACCCTTTTCCACGACAAGTTGTGCAACGTGYGGAGAATTACGAAGTGCATCAACAGCCTATTTGAATGAGGAGATTCGCATTAAAATACCTGTAGAATGAACCGCTTTCTAAGTCAAGCAAAAGGACATTTTTATATTCTTTTGAAGGCCTATTTTCTCCACATCGTCAAAAAGTTCAGAATATATGCCCTGATATAAAATACCTTCGTGAGGATAGCTAGAATTCTAAACAAATTTCTTTCCTTCATTCTAAGTTGATAAGGTTCTCTATATATTAATTTGTATATGCGAAAACTTGGAGCAAGAGTTTCAARACCCTTCCCGGCCTCTGTTTTAGCCTGTGAACCAAATACACCTACCTCTTGYCGTGTAGCCCTTGTTAGGTTAATATTATTGACTGCCACGATTCTATCTCCTATCCCTATGCTACCGTCCATGGCCGCAGCGCCATTAGGGTTGATAGACTTGACAAAAATCCCTCCAAAATCTGGACCACCCTTCAATTCGCAATGTACAAAAYGTTAGTGCTATTGTCTCGTTAATAATGTACTCATTGATACCGAGAACTTACCACCACACTGAAGCCAAAGCTGTTATTGAACTTTTGCAATTCAATGTAAATGCAGTTTGGCTAAGAAAAAAAGATATAAAAGTCAGTGTGAGACGTTCTAATAAACTCTCCTAGTTTCCAACATCTGCTGGGAAAGTGCGATTGGCTTTTGACTTCAATTGTCTTCAATCAAGCTACAATCGCTCAACAAAAGGGGTTCTATAAGTAAAATAATTTCCTAGAAATAAGAGATCGATATGGTAAGCATTTTTGGAGCACAATTAAATAACTGTAAAAAAACAACAACTTTGTTTTCATATCTAAATATTTTATATGTCTGATGGATTTAGTTGAAGCATGGTCACATGACTATTCCCGAACATCACACGTGACTTACCGAGGTTCGCATTAATTGGTCCAGATCCTCCATTGGTTGAGCATCAGCTTGTGGCTGTCGAAATCTTTCAAGCACAAGTGTTGCAGTAGCCTCAGACTGACGAAGATACTCKACAGCCTACCACAATTCAAATTATAAGTATTGTTAGTTAAGGTGATATTCCTTAATGGATAAATTGAAATGGCGAAACATAASTTGAGCTGTCCATGCAAAAGCTTTATAAACAATAGACACATGTTGCGAGGACTTAATTATAWATTCATGACAAAGAAATAATGACGATTTCACGCAGCTTTTTTTTTTCTTGGTAAAAAGTTGGAATGATCTGGAGAATTTTAAAGAGAGAAAKGTTTCCGGTATTTCATTACCTGTTTTCGGTTCATTCCTTCCATCGGGACACCATTTATTTCAACTATTTGATCACCTATAAGAAATTTTATCAAATCTTAATAATGACTATCAATTATTATCACAAATTCAAAATGGCCGCCGTACATTTCAGGATATTGAATATTTCACAACCTAAGAAACTGTTAATAGTTTTTTTTCAGAAACAATCATATAATTACAAAATAACATCACTGTTTTAGTTATTACAGATTTTTCTATGGCAGATATCTCATCGACAGGGGAAATAAGCGTCTTAAAACTGACAAAATTCCATAAATACGTGTCAGTCAAATATGGCGCCTGTAAGACGTTTTAAGAACCCCACAGCTTTATATTTCCGGCTTAAAGTATCATTTCAGGTTGATGAAGCAAAGGTCTTTGGCAATAAATTTAGATTATCGAGACTTTTCTAGAATTCATTGAGAATTGTTTAACAACTATTGACAGTCAAGTCTTTYATGCCATTTTGAAAAATTGGTATGGTATTACGTTTATTGGAAATAGTATTAAAAATATTTCGATTGCAAAGAACAAATTAAGGTCTCAGTGCATTAGCGAAATTTATAATTCAAAAATACTATTTTTATTTCATGTAACGCTKCTTGACAAAACTGAGCACTTTTTTGATTAAATTCATGTTTCATTACCAGCTTAGAAGGCAATTATCCCAAAAGTTGCAAAATTAATATGTTGGCTAGAAGTATCAATTGTTCGTCGGCAATTAATGATGTTTAAATAATGAATTAAGTTAAAACTTAGACATATGAATATATAATCCATGCATTCATGGCTTCGGCAATCTTCGTGTATAGCTATTTCAAAAAGGTTGTCGGGGAGAAAGTCATGTGCACGTCCGTAAGGCACTATGGGTATTGATTATTAATGGCCATATTCGCTCTTGAAAGGCCTCAAAAATATTATTTCTATTAAATTATTATCTATAATGAAGATATATTTGGTTCGTCCGTTTTTTGGAGATGAACAAATATTATTATTAAAAAAGTGATTATCCACAATGACTTTCGGTCGTGCAATCGCCGTTCCGATCTGACAACCATTTTGGAAATAGCTAAAATACAATCAAACATCGGTTTTTGACTTTCTTTGGAAAAAAGAAAGGTATCGGGATTTGGTTAAGAAATAGTTACGATTCAGCGCATTATTTCACAAGATTTCACTAAGTTGAATTTAAAAAATCAATAACAGCTGCTCCGTTTAGGTATTTTCAAATTGACAGCCAGAGAAAGTTGATTGCTTTAAAAGCACCCAAGAGCTCTAAAGGATGTACCRCAAGCAGTTATATGAATTTCCTTCCCATTCAAATGGAAACTAATTTAACTTTACTCGTCTTGTCGCAGCAATAATCAACGAAACTGAAAAATCAATCTATTTCGAGCGCGTCACGTCGAGCTTGCTATACCAGAGGAAATTGATCCGACATGTTTACTCTTAGGACAAAAGGAAAACCAAATATCCCTGATCATTGTATATTATGAAATTTGACTTCAAAACGCTCTCGGCATTAAGAGTTTGCTATAAAAAGCCAGATTCAATCAGTGGATTTCTTGATTGATTTTGTTGTGGAAATTTTGGCGTTAAATAYYGAATGAAAGACTACTTGCCTAAAAAGGGGTTCCGTTATAAACTAGACAAAATGCTTCCTTAAATTAAAATCCCTGTTTATTTACTTCTTTCAAAACTTAAACAAACAAATAAATTTAAAACGGGTGTGAAGGATAAAGAAAAAAGGAATGARATAAAATAATGTGAAATGAAAAATGAAATTAAAAAAAATATTGTAGCGAGGTGGTCCGGAAAACTTCATGATCATMTTGAACTGCACACCAYTAATGTTATAAATGACAGCGGTTATGWTCAGACTCATGTGTAATTTCCCTCTTCAATGGTATATACTTTATTTTGAAGTCTTTAGCGAACACGTTTGAAAATCGAATATGGCCCAAGATTAATTTATTTCGTCTCTTTAATTTATAGCTGGAACATGTCATATTGTTTGAACGTACATTAATAGCCAAGCCCTAGATGCATTTCATCTGTAATGTGATTGGTCGAATTGTCGTTGGTCCTATCTAATTGGTCAGAATTAACAATTCATTTACACTTGTTCTTTCATAGGTTTGGTTKGAATAATTCGGGCGCTAACCACAAGGCTGTTTACTGTTTTTTTTCGCTTGAGTACATCGAACTTGGCGATAGCTAATCCATCAAATATCCAAGAAATGCTTCTAAACTCGAATTTCCCATTTAAGAATAATCCATGGCTTAATTTCAGTAAAAAAATGTCAAAAAATAAAGACTCAATTTGGAATTGATGGGAATGGAAAAGATAAAAACGCGTGTGTTCAAAGAATATTACGTAAGTATTACAGATATGGTACTATTTTCACATGACAGTAGCTTAAAAATGAATTCTAGATGGAACGAACTGATGACTTCAACCAACGACCAAAACACCGTGATGTACACTTGTTATGTTTATTATAGCGTCGCGGGGACCATATTTCTTCAAACCGTATTCATTTATACATGCCTATATGGTATACTTACTTATAGCTTTAGAGTGCTTTATCAAAGCATAGAGATTGAGCAATAGAAATACTTTTGAATAACGTATTTTGATATSAAAACAGCMAAGGAAAGGAATGGCTTACTGACACTGAAATGCCCACGGCAAAAAATAGTCAAAACTACCTTTTGGGTACAGTATTAGGTTCCTCYCATAGAACCAAGCATTACTTGACACTTGACCACATTACTCGATTTTAACCATTGAGGATTGCCTAAATAAACTATTTTCGCGTGTGAGAAATTCAGTAAAAATTAAATCATCAGATACTGTCTTGTTATTTTGTCATTATCGATTCAAAACTAGATGAAACGACAATGGCCGYCCTTCCATTTATGAACAAGTTTATATTATAAAATGAAGAGAATTTGAAGTAACTTCACTAAGAGCTGTTCTTTCACAGAAAACAATCGGCATTTTCAAACTCCATTCATGCAGATGGAGTGTTGGTCACATATAACAGCAGTAGAGTGAGTTAGTATTTCACCATAGATTACTCTGCGATCTCATRAATAATTTATCCTCGCAAAGCTATTAATTTAAGGCTGACCATCCACGGCACTGAGCCGCCACTTTCTCTCTTTTATCAATGATGTTTCAAAATAAGAATTCATCCGTCCTTTATTATACTTAAGTTCTCTTCTCCCGGACTGATAAAATTCTACTTTGGTCGGTTAAGGCGAGCTCTAGCTCTTCCGGAATATTGAAACAGTTTTTCCACCTTACCGAGAATCTTAAAAAAAGCACTTTGGAATTGACMGTTCCATGGGTTGAAGTACAAGATTATAAAATCAAAATGCCTTAGGTAATTTTAAGTGTTGATCTAACCACACAATTCAAGTCCCCAAATACATATAAACGTTTTCAATAAATTGTGAAGTCCACAATATTCTAATTGTCACGAAGTGACAATAGGTTCGCAAATTTGCAAAGACTCATTGTTCCCGTCCGTCCTTTGAAGCAGATGTTTTCTTAAAATAATTACAAAAACAACTGGGAATTTCAATGCTAAAAAAGCGAGRGATAGCAGTAGTCGGTAACATCTTGTATGGAAAAATAATTAAACCTCTTCCAAAGTCTTCAAATAAGATATTCCAAGTTTATTTCTAAGTGTAATCTGAAAGTCATCCAAGAATTGTAGTTTATGTCAAAGAAGAATAATTCACTATTATTATGTAATTTGGCATTTCTATCTTTTTAAACATGTTGCATTGAAGTCCAAAATAAATTTTCCAATCACGCGAGCTAGTGAAAGGATTAAGAATGGCGAGCACTAAGAACGGAATGGGAACACGAAAGCACMTCAGTGGAACAACGAAGAAAATCTAGGTTTTATGCCATAAGCAAGTTWACACTGACATAAATGAAAGAAAAAGGAAGAAAAAAGGAAGTTTGATAACTCGAGAGAGCAGGCATAGATTAAAATAAGGGAAAAAACAATTACTAAGAAATTTGAAACCTCCAGTGGCCACTTCTGAAAGCTAACCAGAAAAAGCCAATCTCTTAAAACCATTAATTACTTTAATTGACATTACTAAATTGATTTTTGGTCCGTCAATAAGGCAGCAATATAAATACCACCAATTATTCAAAACCTTGAATCCTTTTTCTTATCTAAAAAGCTTTCAATTTCCTTCTACTGCGTTATCAGAAGGACAATTATCACTGACGAACAGAGACTGTTAGTCTGACATCATATTTATGCATMTGTTCATTAGTTCTATATTAATTTTATAGTATTGCTCATCAATCAATGACGGGAAAAACAATAGAGATTCAATACTTCACTAGGCGCAAACATGACACATAGGTAACACCCACCAACTCGTATTTTCCCAGATGCCTCTGCGGCTCCACCTGGAAGAAGACTTTTGACGAAGATTCCTCCAAGGTCACTGCCACCCTGAAAGAAGAAAACAAATGCAATAGGATATTCCAATGATGAGCTGTGGATTGAGGTAAGTAGAATGAATTATTTTATAGGGAAGGAGAAGATTTTTTAGCGAAAAAGTGGCGACCAGTAAACACTAGAAGAAAAACAAGAAAAAACACACTGAGATTAAGATAAAGTCATCCATTTTGAACAAACTCAATGARCATGACTACAGATGTTTGTCAAATTTTTTCTCCTTGAGAATTTGCCAAAGTCAAGGAATTTCAAGGATCAAGCACTCTTCTTGCACACAAATTATACAAATTCACTTGATTTGAAAAATGGAGTTTACTTTTATACAACGAAATTTGTTTATTTTTCATCATCGTCCACTACATCCGGTCTGSTGATTCATGYAAACTTCCTACATCTGTTTTGTTTTGAGTCCTAATCGGTTGATATCGTCAAAACACCATTCTTATTCAAAATCGATAAGATCTTATCTAGTTGAAGTCCTATCTGGACTCAAATATTTATCAGACTTTACGAACACGAAAGCAGTCGAGAAAATCCAGTGTTGTTTACCAAGTGGGGTAGCCTAGCGACCTCTTTAATGACAAACAGTAAATGACAATTTGAAAAGAAACCAAAATTCTGAAAATTATACTTGAAGTTCTTATTAAGTAACTACATTGGAATGCGAAGTGTTCGAATATTGCTGAAAATTTTTGTTTTGTTTTGCATCTACACATTCAACCCCAAAGAACGCCTAGGAAGCTTTGTGACATTTTTCAATGAATCTTCGGATAAAGTTGAAAGAAACAATTAATGTTTATATTTTTACTTCTTGTTTTTTTATAAATATTAGCAAAACATAGACCCATTTTCATAAGAAAACAGAAAAACACGATATATATGCTGTTTCGAATGGTGTGTATTTGATAAAATAAGAGTCGCGATGAAGATGTCAGCAAGCCTGGGAAAATACACTGCTGTAAATCTTCCTGTGCCTATCGATCTGTGTTGGATACGATCACCAAATATTTGAAAGCCTATTTGAACTCATTAATAATTTAATATTTTCCCTTTTATTCTTACGCATCTTTTGTTGAAGATTTAAATTATCTTTCTTTCTTGTTGGTTATGAATAAAAATGATTGTAATTTTTATCAGAATACACTTTGGGATGAGTAATTTACAATTTGACATATCCTGTAAAATTCATCARATTCATCGTGTTGAGCCGTAATCTCGTTTGAAAATTCCACTTTGTTTACATGGAAAAAGGAAACTAAAAGAAAAAAAAAAAGATATTGAAGCTCAGAAATACTAAAAAAATACAATCCAATTTCCTTACAAAGTGTTAAATTAAATTGATCCATTTCTCCTTGAAGACTGGCTCCAACTGCAATTTCACTCAATTCCATCTTTAAGAGATGTGTCAAGTCAAGACTAATAAACTTCCCTTGTTCGAAAAATACCCTTTGCACGACGACAACTATAGGTCAGCGCCACTTTTTCTCATGAGAACAAGAAAWGAATGTCTTCATTTTCTATAATTCATGAATTGAGAAWAATGGMAAGGCGGAGTTTGAAGGYTAGGGAAATTGTTTCGCTAACGCTTTATTCTTACCGTAAGATTAAGCCCAAAGCTCCCATTTAGTTTAGGGATCTCTATGGGTATATAGTCCTGGTAATAATGAGGCAAAATATTAGTACTTATTAAATTATATAACAATTTTCACCGATTTTTATCACATTTTAGGTCTACGTGAAGCCAAATGTCATCAAGACAAAGAAAGTAAATTAATGAAAGATCACGTGGCATCGGTGCGATGTTATTAATAGCAAGCAGTTATTAGATGGAAATAATGTGTATTTGAAAACAAAGGTTAAATAAAAGGATTAAAAGAATTATGTTCTCTTGCATTACTTCTCCTTTTTTTACACTTTTCTCTCTCTCAAAAACTGGATAATATGGTCCTTATCATAAACGTTCTGACACTTTCATAAATTTGGCTATTCGTTAACTTGATTTGATCGATCGATTATTTAAGGAGACCTTATCCAATTTACCCACTCGAAAGAATATGAAATGAAACTTTAGAAAGACAAAAGAAAGAGAGATTATAAGAGTTTCTTGAGTTTATTTATACAAAGATTCTAATAATTACTTTTTATATACACTGACCCGTTCAACGATCTTTTGCACACAGAATTACCAAAATGTCAATGATGAAATCTCTACAAAACTTATTGCCATTAAAATGCTTAAAATGCCTATTTGTCCGGCGCCAATATTGAATACAATTTATCAATACAAATTATGCAAAAGGTCAGAGGAACGATTGATGGCCTCACGTATTCGGTAAAAAAAATTATTTACAATATCATTAGGAAAATGATATTAATATTGATTTTTATCCAGCTTATAATATTATTTGAAATATTATTATTTGAATTCATTAGACTTTTCTCAGTATCTATGTTCTATTTGATTATATAAGTTATATATATCGACAGTTTTATTAWATCTACCTGTCAATTTAGCTGGAATTGCTGTACCCTATTGTTTAATTATAATCATTTCTCCGTGTATATTAACAATCCTAGATTAATATCCCAAATTAGTCCTTACTTTTCCTTTTTGTATTTTTTTTATTTAATAGCGGCCTGGTTCCATTCAATGCTAAGATCTCTATAAGGGCCAAGCTAAAATATGTCAGTTAGAATTGATGTCTAAAAGGTTGATTGATGGTGTTGATTTTTATGTATTGAAGCTRTGGATATCCCTTGTCCATAATTCTCTCTATTAAGTAGTTTATGAGTATTCATAACAGTGTTCATTGTTGATGTGATCATTATTTCCAGAAAGACTTTCCCCACTTCATCCACTCGCTCACAGTGTCTGAAACTGTTTCTTGTTGTTTTTCTGTGGTGGACTGGGTTTCTGTCATGTCTGGCTTTGAACTTGRAGCAGATGTTTTTCCTTTTGATATGTCTTTCTCATGTGAGCTTTCGGTTGATTTTTCAGCTTCGGACTGTTTGTTTGCTTGCTTTTCATCAGGTGTAGTTTCGACATGAGGTTTTACGCTTTTTGTGTCAGCTGCTTTTGTTGGTTTAACAATGTTGGATTGTATTTTTTGATCTTGTGGTCTTTCCAAAGCAGCCTTGGGAGGTACCTTTTCATCTTTTGSCTTTGTGTCAATTTTTGTGGGCGTCTSTTTTGGTTGTTGTTTCTTTTCGTCACGTGCAAGATGTGTTGGTACTTTTTGGGGTGTTTGTGCTCTATCGGACAGTCGTTTCTCGTCTTCCTTTGGAGGTTTTGAAGCAACAGACTTGATTTCTCTTTCATCACTCTTTAAAACCCCCTTAACTGTTTTAGGCATCTGGGTTTCTTTATTCGTATGTTTCGTTCTGTCAATTGGTTTAGCAAACCGTTGGTTAGGTTGCTTAGGTTTTGAAACTTTCGTTTCACTTCCCTTAGTTGAGGGCGTGGTCGATTTCTCTTGCGGAGTAAGATTTTTGGTGGTGGAAGGCTTTGGACTAACAGTCTTCGGGATTGCTCCCTGGGTAGAAGCACGTGTTTGCTTTCCTTCTGTTCGTTTCTCGACGTCTTCTTTTTGCAAGTTCATTTTGGTCTCTTGWTTTTTCTCTGCAAAAGGAGACGCCGCATCTCCTAAGTCTTTCTTCTCATCAACTGATTTTTGTGAATGTTGTTGACTTTGCTTAACAACTGCGGCAGGCTCTGGAGAACTCTTGTATCTTGATAAGAATTTTGAAAAGTAGCTTTCTTGTTGTTGTGGACTTTTATCATCTTGTGATATGTTTTCTTCCTTTATCGARTTGTCAGCTTGAGCGGGGCTTTTTTCTTGAGGTTTGGAGATCTGTGAAGTTGGCTTGGTTTTACTCGCTTTGGGAGTTTCTCCAATTCTAGAAGATTTCTCGCTTTTGCCTCTATCTAATGGTGAATGCGAAGACAATGGTTGTTCGGCTGCGATAGAAGAAGCCTTTGATTCGGACGATTTAGGAGTAGGTCTTGTGATTGTCTTACGGACATCAGCTTGGTCATTTGTTGCCCCAGTTTGATTTGGCTCTGATCTGAGCTCTTTTGGTGCACCACTTGTGCTTTCTTTGGGATAACGTTTAACTTTAGCTGGTTCCGTATGTTGTTTTTGATTTGTTTTTGCTTTTGACGGCCCATGAACGTCATCAGTGGATTTTTTAATGTCCTTTTTTTCCTGTTGATCACTTGACTCCTTCTCTTGTTTCTTCTGTGCAGCCAATCGCGCTTCTGCATTCCGTTTAGCAAAAAGGGCCGCTAATTCTTCTAATTTTTCATCGTCAGGTGGAGGCTTGCCTTTTTCTTCTTGTTGATAGCTCTTCACACGCGACATGAAAGATGAGAGATAGCCTTCGCTAGGTTTTTCAGCAATTTTCTCTTCTACATTTGTCGTCGTGTCGCTTTTTTCAGTCGATGTTTGCCCTTCGGATGTGACTGACGTACAATCCTTTGTTTTGAATGCTACCGATGTTAAACTCTTGCTATCGACTTTTGTTTTGGGCGGTTGTGAGGAAACCGCTTTCTCTTGTGGCTTGTTTGTGTTTTGTTTGGAGTTTTCTTTCTGCGACACGATCTTTTCAGCCGATTCAGTAGCCTTTTTAGAAGACTTCATTACTACCGTTTTAGAAGGATGGGAAGAAGCTCTCTGCTGTTCACTGATTGGACCAACGGATGGAAAATCAGGTGTTTCATTCACTTTCATATGAACATCAGCTTTGACTTTTACTACGTTTTGCGATGCAGCTGACTTCAGGACAGTACCCTTTTTAGTCGATTCCGTTGTATCCTCTTTTGCTTCCATCGGTTGCGGATCTTGATGAGACAATTGTGATGTTATCTGATGTGGAGGTTTGTCTTCCTTTGCTTTTCTTTCTTCACCACTGRCATCTGTTTGGTCTTTATTGTGTGCCTCGGACTCCTTTTTGTAATTTTCGTATTCATGTTTTGCTCGCGACAAAAAGGATGAAAAGTAACCTCCAGACGGTTTATCTTTAGGCGTCTCCTCTTTTGATGAAGGTTTAGATAGTGGAGGGACATCACCACTAACATCTTTCTTAGAAGAAGTACCGCTGACAATTTCTTTTTTAGACGCGGACTTTTCCGTTGTTGCCTTTTCAGTTTTGGTATTTTTGCCATCAGGCTTTGCCTCTGGTTTTCCTGGTGTTTTTCTTCCTTGAGATTTCTCCACTTTTGGTTCCATATCAACTTTATCTTTCTCTAGCTGTTTTTTTCTTGCCTCTTCATTTTGCTTAGCATAATAAGCTGTCAATTTCTCGAGTTCATCATCTTCCTTCGCACTTTCGTGTGATTCTTGAGGTTTACCGTCAGATGTTGCAAATTTCGTGAGGAAACGTGAAAAGTATCCTACTTCAGCTTGTGGTTCGTCTGACTTATTTGGTGCTGTGTCCTTTACTGGGCTCACATTAGAGGGCTTCCTCGCATCTTCAGCCATTGTTTTATGCTCCAATGAAAATGAAACACGTTTGCGAGGACGATCAGCATGCTCTTTGCTTTGAGTACTTGTTTTTCGAGGAGACATAGCGCCAGATGCACTAGGAGCTGTTTTATCTGAAGCTTCTTGCATATTTGATTTGTTTATCTTTTTTGAGTATTTCTCATCACTTTCCTTTCCTTTTGGCGTTGGTGCTTTAGCGTTCTTCTTGGAATCGTCATCATCTCTTTGATTAAAGGATTTTTTCCAACTTGCAAATTTGGATAAATAACGATCGTAATCACTTGTTTCCTCTCTAACGGTCTTGCTTCTTTCTGCATCCTTTTTGGCTATAGTAACGGAACTCTTACCCAGAGTACCTTTCTCGTGTTTTATGCCTTTCTGCGATGACTGAGCTTTACTGTGAATAAGCACTGCTGTGGCGTGATCAACATTGCTTTGTTTCTTGTGCTTACGCGCCTTTGCTGCTCTCCAGTGTTTTTGAATTATCAATGCAGCCCAACGCTCGTCATGTTTCATGGATTTTTTAGAATTAGTTGACTTACACTTCCCAAAAAGCAATGCTACAGTAGCATTCTCGACGTTGCTTTGTCTCTTCAATTGACGTGCCTTTACTGACCTCCAATGCCTTTGTATCGTCAACGCAGCCCATTGCTGAGAATGTTTTTGTCCTGACATTTTGTCAGATCGTAACGCTTTCCAACGCTTTTGAATGAGAACTGCAGCAGCTTGTTCTACATAACTTTGCTGGATTGATTTACGAGCCTTTGCAATTCTCCAGTGTCGTTGTATCATTATTGCCGCCCATTGCTCTGAGAGACGGTCTTTAATTGCTCGATTCAGCTTTGTCGACCTCCAACGCTTTTGGATGAGAACTGCAGCGGCTTGTTCTACATTACTTTGRTGGATTMKRTTACGTGCCTTTGCAATTCTCCAGTGTCTTTGAATCARTAATGCTGCCCATTGCTCTGAGAGACGATCTTTCATTGCTCGATTCAATTTTGTTGACCTCCATCGCCTTTGGATGAGAACTGCAGTGGCTTGTTCTACATTACTTTGTTGGATTTCCTTGCGTGCCTTTGCAATTCTCCAGTGTCTTTGAATCATTAATGCTGCCCATTGCTCTGAGAGACGATCTTTCATTGCTCGATTCAACTTTGTTGACCTCCATCGCCTTTGGATGAGAACTGCAGCGGCTTGTTCTACATTACTTTGTTGGATTGCTTTTCGTGCTTTTACAATTCTCCAGTGTCTTTGAATCATTAATGCCGCCCACTGCTCGGAAAGACGATATTCTATTGCTCGATTTAATTTTCTTGACCTCCAACGCTTTTGTATGAGAACTGCAGCGGCTTGTTCTGCACTACTTTTCTGGATGGCCTTGCGTGCCTTTGCAATTCTCCAGTGTCTTTGAATCATCAATGCTGCCCATTGTTTAGAGAGACGTTCGTTCATTGCTCCACTCGTCTTTGTTGATTTCCATCTTTTCTGAATAAGAATCGCCGCGGCATTCTCAACATTATTTTGTCTGAGTTCTTTTTGCGCTTTTAAACGTCTCCATTGGCGCTGTATTAGTAACGCTGCCCATTGTTCAACTAAACGGTTTTTCTTTCTTTGTTCGCTGTTGATGGTCCTCCATCGTTTTTGAATAATAACTGCTGCCGCATACTCAATTCTACTCTGTTGCATAGCTTTACGTACTCTTACAAACTTCCAATATCTTTGAATCCTTAATGCTGCCCACTGTTCCACAAGTCGAACTTTCCTGCCTTGGTAACCTTTCACAGACCTCCATCGATTTTGGATCAAAACTGCAGCTGCATGTTCTATTTTTATTTTTTGAATAGCTTTTCTTGCTTTTGCGAGCCTCCAGTGCCTTTGTAAAGTCACAGCTGCCCACTGCTCAGACAAACGTCTACTAATTTCTTTGTTCATCCTTTTTGATCTCCATTGTTTTTGGATAAGAACTGCAGAAGCATATTCTAAATTACTTTGGCTTATTGCTTTACGAGCTTGTGCAGCTCTCCAATATTTCTGTATCAGCAATACCGCCCATCTCTCAGCTACTTTTTGTCCAGCATCTCTGTCATCTTTCACTGATTTCCATCTTTTCTGAATGAGCCTGGCAGCGGRGTCTTCTACCAAACACTGCTTCAGTGCTCGACGTGCCTTAGCAGCTCTCCAGTGTTTCTGGATCATCAAAGCTGCCCACTTCTCAGCKAGTTTTTGTTTTAGTACTCGATCAGCTTTGACTGATTTCCATCGCTTTTGAATAAGCTTTGCGGCGGCTTCTTCCACCAAAAACTGCTTCAGTGCTCGACGTGCCTTAGCAGCTCTCCAGTGTTTCTGAATCATCAGTGCTGCCCACTTCTCAGCCAGTTTTTGCTTGAGCACTTGGTTGGCTTTCACTGTTTTCCATTGCTTTTGAATTAGCTTTGCGGCGGCTTCTTCCACCAAACACTGCCTCAGTGCTCGACGTGC